TTTGGTCTTGAATTCTTGGAAGTCCTCTGTATCCTGTTGTGCAATACTTCCCTTGTTCCTAAGACTTCCCCCCATGGAGTAACTACACCCAAAAGGACTTTTCTTAGGAGAAGATAAGGCAGCTTTACTAAACCTATTACACTGATGCTGCTTGTAGTCATATGTTTCTGGGACGTATTCTGGAAAGAAGAGGGGCGGCTCTGATGTGTAATACCACATGGCCCAGGAAGCACAGCTTCCCCTGAGCTTAGACAGTTGGGTACAAGAGAGATTGGCTGTGAGCAGGGCACGGAGCAGGGAAGTCTGCAAAGTTTCTCAAGGTTAAACCTGGGGCTGGAGATGACAGCGGCCTTGCGTTACAACTTGACTTTGTTTTTTTCCTAATTACAACATGAATTTTTCTAAATATAGCATTTCCCTTCACTCCTGGCCATAAAGGAATTGTGCTGACTGGCTTCTAATTTTCCTGTTGGGATGAATGAAAACTAAAGAGTAAGAGCAGGTCTTACTCATTTCTGTGACTTTTTATTACCACAGGAATCATTCATTTTTAAAAGCACAAAAGCCAAGTTTGAAACAAATAAAAAAAATTTACCCAAGATTGTGTCCATTTAAAAAATTAATCTGAACTATACATGACTTTGAACCAAGAATAACATTATGAGCAGATCTTTTTGAGTAGATTTTTATAGTGAAGAACTTGTCCTGACCTATTATGAGAGCTTTTTAAATGAAGCTTTGAAACATGTTGCAGGTTAAATAATAACTGACGAGTTCAAACTATTACCTCTAGGAATCCAACTCAGTACTGAAAAGATTGCACCCAGGAGGACTGAAGAAGAGTCAACCATTTGATTCCCTTAGTATAACGAGAAGCAAAGCTTAGTGTGCATAATAGTCTTTCATTTAATTGTTTAAAAGAGAGATGAGACATTTATTAAAAACTTATTACCATAGAAAAGATTATTTCTTTCAAACATTCCTACTCATAAAGAAAGGTCAGTCAGCATTCTCATAGACCTCTTTCCAAGTTTAACTCGAAATAGTGGCATCAGACTGGTTATGCATAGAATTTTGTTAAAAAGCTGGACTTTTGGATTTAGGACATTCAGCCCCCAGTATGATTTCTTTCTAGGGTTTGATTACAGGGGCAAATAGGGAAATCTGACAACTGCCTAATGTTCAACAAAGCTTTTGTTAAATCATGGCTAGTGAACTAAAGCCACACATCCAGGTTTGGATCTCAGATTCAAGGAAAAGACTGTGTACAAACCAAAGGCAAATAAACATACAACCAGCCCTATAGACAAATGAGAGCTCAAAGGGAATGATAGTTCTTCAGCCAACTGGTCAGGCCACACTCTCACACCAGAAATTACTAAGAAAAAGATGAAGATTATCAAGTAAACATGAGCAAAGGGAAGTGATATCAAACAGACTTTGAAAACCTGCTTCTGCCTCTGGCTACTATCTCTGCCAAGGGGTCAGACAATCAGGTGGTACCCCTCCTTCCCCCTGAATACTGAGGATGTAAGCATATATCATGTATACCACCATTTCTCAAAGTATGGTCAAGAGAACCCTGGGAATCTCTGAAACTTTTTGGGAGTATCTATGAGGTCAAATTATTTTCATAGTAATACTAAGACACTATAGTCTTTCTTTTCTTAAAGGGCATGGAGATTCCCAGAGGCTACATGGCAGGTGATGTTGTCCTCTGACTGCTGTTGGAAGATATGCTTGAATGTTATTGTGCTTATAAAAATTCTCCATTTTCATAGGATAACTACCTAGTGTTAGAACCCATATTTTAAAATTCCCTTAGAACTCTCAATATTTAAGTTCAAAAGTTTCTAAGATCAACAGTTTAAGAACCACATCATCACTCAGTTACCGTGCTAAGATACTAGCAAGCAGCAGAAATCTGTTCTTTCTTGATGACATTTTGGAAATACCCTTCTACTCTAGAGTAAACTTCAAATGAGACCTAGGAAGTGTTCCTTCTGACTAGTCCATAATATTCAGTTTGCCTCAAAAACGGCCAGCAGTTATGCTTGGCATGTGAAAGTCCCCACCTACTATAAGGTGGTAGGTGCCCCAAGTCCTTTTACTATATATATATATATATATATATATATCAATTTACAAAGAAAGGAAATATTTGTGTGTATTTTGATAATTATGTAAAATAGGAATTGTAATTCATGCATATGCTTTTCACCCTTAGAGGAACTGTGTACTGTTCTTGGAGTTTTTGAACTCTAGACTGAAACTAAGAATCGTAACCACAAATACAGGGCAGTGAAGCATTTCTGGATGTGTTGAGTTCGTGTGTGTGTGTGTGCAAGAAGTAGGCACTAGGCCACTGAGTAGAGATTTCTCAAATTTATTCTTCAAATACAGTCAACACAGAGTTGGGATCTCAAGTCAGCCTAGTGTCTACTAATTCAGGTTCAGAGGATCCTGTGAGGCCATTGCCTTGTAAGAATGAGGAGGAGTCATTCTTTTTTGAAACAGGCAACACTGGTTTTTAGCACTGATTATGGTTTAGAGGTACAGGATCTCCCTCTTCAGAGGCTGTAACCACACCACATCCACCAGCACAGTACCCAGAGTCCTCCACCAGAGTCCACTGTGCGCCCTCCCTAATTTGTTCTCCCCTATTCCATTTCCCTTCTGATAGCCTCAATTCTACTGTCAGATTTCTAGAGTTTGTTATTAGTTTGGCATTATCTGACCTTTTGTTTATTTTCTCTATATTCTACATGTAAGTGACATCATTGGTATTTGTCTAATTTCTCTTCACTTGATCTGAAGGGGCTTTAAAATTTTTTTTTTAATAAAGTTCTCCTGAAGGTGGGCATGAAAGATATGTGCCTATAAAAATAGTATTTGCAAGCACAGAATTTTCTTTTGTCTCCCTCTCTGCTGACAGGTGGGTCAGGAAAGAACTGAAAGTATACATCTTCAAATCAAAGCAACCAAACTACCAAATACAAACATTTGATTTGGATTTGACTGAGCAAAGATTAAACATCTGAGCTACAGGAGACACCACAGGAGGTCATACGCAGAGAGCAGAACAAGGTCAAGTTCCTGGTCTTAAGGAGAGTGACAGCCAATCACTTGCCTTTTTCCAGTTATTGCATCCGTGTCCTCTGTTATCTACCAGAGTTAAGTGACAGAGAAAAGGACAGAGGGGTGACTTTCATCTCTCTCTTTTATTCTTAGCAGGCTGAATTGGGAGGTATCTCCTGGAGCCATCCCTGGTTCCCTGCCCTGAAGGAAGAACTGAAATCATTTTCCCAGAATATGCATGTTTTAGAAACAGAAGGTTATCTGTTGTAATACAATTAAGGATATTTAACAGAAAAAAATGAATGACATTCAACATGCTCTGTTTTAATCAGTCTTTATAACATCATCACTTTGTCTCCAGGAGGAATTAGAAGACAGTAGGAAGAGTTAGAATTTTAGCAACTTTAAGGAAGACAAAATTGAGCCATCTTTTTGGATGGAGGAAATGGTTGAAGGCACTGGCTTGGTGAGGGTGTGTTTGCTCTAGGGGTGGGGATGGGGGGATGGGCTCCAAGCATTTACCACCTCTTCATCTTGCCCTCTGGCTTCTTTTCTGGTATAGAAGAGAGTTGTGATTCCTGTAGAGTTCTGTAGGCATCTGACAGCATTCCATGGAAAACAGCTAGCCTGGGGCCCATAATGGGCAGCCTGTAGCGGTTGCTCTCTGGAGGACAGTACAAGAGAGGTGTATGGACAAGGGCAGCTTATATTCTACTTTAAAAGAAATTCAAAATAACCAGAAGTTACCTAAGACCTTAATTTAAAACAGATTCAAATGCAGATAAAAATTCCTTAAAGTAGGGTAGGATCCTTGGCCCTTCTTGTTCTTGGGGATACTATCTTGGTGTCCAGAGTTCCTGCTTATCAGCCCTCTCGCCAAGGGCAAATGTCCTGATGTGAGGAACATACTGGGAAACCAGTATCTGCTGGAAACAGGGGGCAGATACGAGCCTAGAGATATGTTCTGGCCAGCAGAAACAATTAGAGCCCCCAGGCAACAGGTCCGGTCTTTCCACACCAGCTTATATCCCCAGTTACTGCTCCCCCACCTCTTATGAAGGCTCCCTGTGTACTTGATGCTAACAAATACGAGACTGCCTTTGGTGGGGGGCTGCACATCTGTGTAGCCCCTCTAGGCTTCTCCCTACTCCACAGGACTTTGAGTAATCTCTCATCCTGCACATTTCCCAACACTGGAGCCCACAGATGACACAACAGAATCATTTTACCCCCCACAACATTTGAGCATTTATAACTCTTGTCAAGGAGGTCCAAAAGGAGAACCTATGGAAACATCTCAAGTATTAGGAGTCACTATGTTATAGGGTACCCCAATGTGAATTGGGTTACCTGTCTGTGGATTATCTGTTACAGGACAGGGAGAGAGCACCACTGAAGCCCCAAACCTGCCTGCTCTAAGTGGGGTCTGCCATCTGCCTCGTCAAGACAAAACATATAAAACTTTAATGAAAAGGGACTTTAATACAGTAAATATACAATACAGAACACAGAGAATATAACGTATAAATCAAACACCTGAAGTTACCCATCCCCTCATGGGCAAAAGTCAACCCAAA